TATTTTTACTTATAATAAATATTAATAAAAAGTTAATTACTTAAGGTTTTGAAAGTAATTTATTAAATAAGACTAATTAAAATATAATAATAACTTATCTTTAATTTATAATTAGTTTATTTTTTAAAAAGTAAGTTAAGTTTAAATATTATTAAGTAATAATAAGTAATATCTTTAATATAAAGTTTTATTAAAAGTAAAACTTTTAATAGTAAAACTATTACTTAAATTAATTAATAAAAATCTAAATTACTTAGCTATAAAAATACCTCTTCTTTAAGTACTTATTTATCTCTTTATTATAAACCTAGTTTATAAAGTTTATTTAATTATCTTAATAATCTTATATTACTAGCTTATTTTAATAATCTAATAAGTTATTATATAACTTTATATCTAAACTAGGTTATAAGTATACTTACCTAAATAGTCTAGCCTAGCTCTATATCTATATAATAGTATTTATAATAATTAGGTACTAGAAGTATTATTAGCTAGATCTATAGCTAATTAGTAAGTTAATATTCAGTTATAATAGAGAAGAATCAAACTAGTACTATAGTATAATGTTATCTAATTTATATATTATTTATAATACTTAACTCTTTAGTATTAATCTTCCATTATAGATAAGGTAAGTGAGAAACACGTAAAATACTATTCTAGTGCCTGAGTCGCGAGTCGCCAGTACTCAGAAAAACTCAATATCACGGCCTTAGGCCTAATCTGCCTTGCCGTCGGAAAAGCGAAGGCAGCAAAGCCACGTCATCTGTTTGGTGGCGACAGAGGCCGGCCTCTTTGCCAAAAGTCTTGCAACCCTGCTCGCTCCAGGATCGGCGTGTGGCACAGAAAGATATCACAATCAGATCACGAGGTCAATCCGCCGCTTTCGAACCCGTCATCTGCATGTCTCGCCGCAGTTGCACTGCCATTCGATCCGACTGTGGTTAAGGGAGGCACTCTCCGATATGCAGAGGGAGACACGTGAATGTGCTAAGCAAAAAGGGGCCTCCCGTGTCTAATTATTGGATGCAATCGCTACCCTTAGCGTATTGTGACTGGTTCGAATGCGAATTGCATAGAGGAGCAGGTGACCTGCCTAGTAGACCTGGGCACCGATCTCACGGGCGAAAGGAGGTGCTTTGGCAGGCAGGCAGCGCGATGGAGAATTGACGAGGTGAGATGCCGCCCAGAAGAGTCCAGAGTGGTTTTGAGCGGCGTTGAACGGAGAAGAAGAAGCTCGAGGCAGAGCCGGAGTTGAGGCTGCTGGCTAAATGTCCAGCATGGGCACTGCGTCATCCTCCCCTACCTCCGCAGTACCTAAGAATATAAATCGTGCTATCATTTTAGCTTCTCTCTGAATAAAAATTTAAATTCTACATCTCCCAAAATCACAACGTTCAGATAATATTTCACCATTGCCTCAGCCCTAGCCTGCCACATCGGTCACAGTACAGTATAGATCTAACACCAGTATTGAGTAGTTATCTGAGTATATACTTACCTTGCACTAGAACAAGATGCCCCAAGTATCCGAGCCTCTCTATGCGGTTTGCGCTGTTACCGACTGTGATGGGAGATACATCAAGCTCGATGAACAGTGCCCGAAATGTGGCTGGACACGTCGCCCAGCGCGACCGAAACCGTAATACGGGATCACAGTGATGGCACGTGAAGGAATCAAGTGAGACATTCATACAGCTTGCTATCACATAGACCAGCATATAATAGCTTCAGTGAGAGTTTTCTTTACGAAACTCTCTCTTCTCCTTGTGAAAAATCACTTCATCCAAGTCGCACTCTTGACCTTGTTCGTGCATCATGCCTCGTTGTCTGAAAGAATAGACTGCTGCTTCTCGCAGTTGTCGTGCTTTGATATGCTGACCTATGTTCATGTACAATTCCGCCTCCTACTGGTGCCGTCGCTAAGCCTATGGCGACCGAGACAGTACAACGACAATATACCTAGCCCTTGGATATCTGCCACACGGCGCGGGTGGCCCGTCCCGTTGTACAGCGCGGCTATGGCCTCTTGGGCAGGGCATCTCCGAGATCTTCGTTGGGATCGCTATCCGCGGCAACGGCCGCAGATATGAAGCTGCTGCAGATTCACGCTAGAAACAGCTGATATATAGAGATGCAGCAGAACATAACGAACAGTCCTGTGAGGTCTGTAAGGATTTTAGCCTGCAGACAAATGGCCATACCTCTGTTATCGTAGACGATGGGGCGAGCAGAAGCAGACCTGAGCTGTGACGGGGTGATGGTCAAAATCCCACACGCATAGGCAACGGTCGTAAGGGTATAAGCAACGGTCGCGTTTCTCCACAGGAAACGCACCAGCACCATCAGCAACAAAAACAGCATCCTGCACCCATCAAGTCCGGCAACACTGCCCTAGGCAACGCAGCACGCGTTGAAAAGAGCGCATTGACGAAGAAAGCAAGCTACACAGTCAGCGTATATTCCATCAGGCTTCCCCGAATAAGCTGTCAGTTGAATCAACAAGTGCGACCCTCCCCACAGTGACCAAACGGACCGACCCGCGCGATGAACACAAGGAGCACGCTAAAGGGGACACTACTGCCGCGGACGATACACTAGTGCGATCGGTCATCATCGTCTCAATGGGCCAGTCAGGGTTTCCTCGCGTTAGCGTAGATAACGATAGAGCCGACTGCGACATTGCGGCAGCAGGCGAGAGCCCTTGTACGGTGCACCATTAATACCAACTTTTGTATTATTGCTTTTTAGTTTCGAATTTCTAAATTCATAATTCACGCCACATCACACCACATCACACTAAAACATAGCATTTTTTAAGACTTATTCCTCTATATATAAGGACCTAGTTAGCTATAAGTATAAATAAATTAATAAAGAATTAAATAAGCTTTATTTTTATATACTTTATAATTAGTAAAATAATATAGTTATAAAGGAATTAGTATTTAAAAGTACTATACTTTTAGTATCCTATAATATCTTATAGTAGCGCTTACCTTAGTTAGTATATAAGGCATTATATTATACTATATTATACTATATTATACTAAAATATAATATATTTAAGTACTACTTCCTCTACTAATAATACTTTAATTTAATAAATATTTATATAGATTATTAGATAGTTAACTAATAGAGATTTTAATAGTCCTTATA